TACTTCTCCCATATTGCCTATTGAAATAATTTGAGATTTTGCGTTAACCTATTTGAGGGAGTCTTTGTCGCAGTCTTTGCTGGAACTATGTGGTTCTCTCCCCGCTCTGTTGGATACTGGAATTTCGGCTTTGTCCGACGTCTTCTTTCTCGCGGCCTTTTAATTTGTTATTGAATTGTCGCCGTAACCTTTGAAGTGTCTTCAGATGTTTCTGCTCTGACCTTCGTTCCGCTGATATTTCCGTCGTCCTTGTTAGAGTGTTCAGATTCGTCTGGACTACTGGGATAATTGATATCGGGCACTCTTCTGCCTGCACATTTTGTCCAGCTTCTTGAATCCTTGGCTCATCACCTTCTGGAATCTCACTAGGTACTTTTTCAACCTCATGATTTGGTAAGCTACTCGATGATAGTGTTAGGTCTACCTATCCTCCGCTTGGTATATTGCGCAAAATAATAGGTGAAAAGGCGTAACACGACGCCAATGTTTGTGGTGGTTTCTTCCCAATCTTCGCCAGTGTTGCATATAATCTCATCGTTTTTTCCTACAACTGGCCCAGTTTCTTGAATAGTCCCGTCTTGTTCTCAGTATCTGATCCGTCTAATGAAGATGTTACCGCTGATACATATGTTCACGGACGTATTACTCTTGGCCTGCTCGGGTTGCTGGTAGGTTTTGATGCAGAAGTTTTGTTTGGAGTGCTCGCTGATGGCCTGTTTCAAGCTAAATCTGATTATTTTGATAAGGTGAATTTTTATTTAATTAATTTGTATATGATTTTTTCCGATCACCTTTCTTTTATCCATAAAATAGATAATATTTTGACGATTTTTCCATTAAAACCTAGAATAGAGGTTTTCCTGACTTCCTATCCAAAAATTTTCTGTACATCAACTCCTTCTCTGGATAGTGAATTGCATCGATTTCAAAGATTTTGACTTCGGTTTATGCACTATCATTTCATACTCAACTCTGAATCTTAAGGTTGATTCAAGTCACTCCTCAAACTCACTGCAAGTAACGGGTTCCTTTCCAAATTTTTCAGTGCAGTGACACTCTTTGTTTTTTCCGCCTACTTCTTGAACTTAAGTGGGGGTCTCTGCTGGTCTTTACTCGCCACTTTCAGTCTCCTCCTGGAATCCGCTGGCACTCTGATCTCCTCCGTTTTCAGCATCGACCTTTCAAGTATCTCCTGATCTCATTTTACAGAATTGATGAGTTAGTCTCTAAATGGTGACCATTCAGTATTAGGTTTACCTCCATAGTGAAGCTCAAACGGCAATTTTTTGAAAATATTAAACCGTGTGGTTCGGATATCTTCGGAAACAGTTTTAACTGCTGAAAAATTATTGTCAAACATCGGATCCATTTGCAATGTACTCTGTTTCCGTTTTATTTTCTGAATACACCATTCAAAGAGACCACAGTCGCGGTGATCTCCAACTGGGCGTAATATTTGATTTATCCCTTTTGATTTACAAAACTCAGCTAAAATGGCGTTTTTGAATAATGAGTACTGATTCGTCCTCAAATTCTGCAGAAATTTATGTTGACTGATAAATCGTTTAAAAACTTGATAATTTTTTTCATTCTTGAATTTCTGGATGTAAGAGCAGATGGATATTTTGAGAACCTGTTGATTGCGAATAATCTGAAAAGTTTTTTCCTCTTTGATCAAAAAAATTTCCTGCAAAGTCTAACTGATGTTCTTCATTTGGTCTGGAAAGGTTTCTCAAAGGGTCTGAAGACTAAAACGACCTATATGTTTTAAGGTTCGTACCAAATGCCGAACACGCTCTGCAAGACTAGCACACATTTCCATCGAATTGTTTTGTCCATCGTTTTCTGGAATTCCTTTGGCTTGTCTGTTAGGCCATAACAAAATTATAAACCTGTATGTGGCCGTAAACTCTCCGCACACGATTCTGCAGTTGCAGTGTTTGCTTACGAAATCATCTAATGGTAATTCAATGAATGCGTACTTTAGATTGAGGGAGATGAACCATACTTTGCCTTCTCATTTGGAAGTATTTAATTGGGCTGCTGAGTTCGGTAGTTCTAATGGATTTAAAATCTGAAATTGTTTCTGGTAAATTTGGTATTTCATAGGTTTCCTGTCCATCGCTAACTTTACCGGGTCATTTTTTTAGAGATGACGACTAAGGGAGACACGAAATAATCGCTTGTGCAATTATCTAGTTTCTGATGTGTCCCTCTTGAATCGTTTTTACTAAATTTCCCCTCCAACCGGAGCTTGCTTGTAGTTGAGTACCCTTCTCCCCTTTTTCCTGAATGAGAATTAATGGCGACTTGAATAATGTGGGCATTTTATGATTCTTAGAGGTGCCAAATCTTTGAAACATATTGCCAAATTTCCTGATAAAACATTCTTTCAACGGTGTGTTCTTTCTGATTCTTTTTCAAATTCCGATACATCGCTTATCGTGTTCAACGGAGGATTCAATTGGGTTGTAACTATGCCTAACTCTGGCTGGAGATCTAGTGCTAACAGAAACCTGGTCCTCTTCTCTGACATTAGGAAGCTTGTACCCTTGATTCTCCACCCGTTCGAGTATATGTCAATCACTAATGCTCCAAACGATTTGATCGGTTTTGATTTGTAATCCACATATACTGTTGTGATGGCTTTTTAATTTGAGGAAATGATATTTGAATTCGGATCTTTTGCTATTAAGGGGTTTGCTGTCCGTTCATTGACAAATAACGCGGGGCTTCCAGTATCTATTGTTGCACTGAATCATGATCCTTTCGTCCTCAAGGTAGTTCTGAACATTTACTTTTCCCAGTGTCTAATTTTATTATTCCCAGGTTCTTGAAAGTTTCCGTCTGGAAAAAAATTTCTGTGATTCTCAATACTGAATAATTTTCACCGCTGTCCGTGTCGATGAAGTGCAATCTTCTTCTTCTTGTTCTCGACCTTCTACTTTTGCTACCTGTGATCCGTTATAACACTTAGCGAAGTTGCCCTTTTCCCCGCATCCACGGCAAGTGACGCCTCGTGCTGGATACTTTGCTTTGTGTTCTGTTGTTAACTTGTTTCCACTGAAATTACACGGTTTAGATGAGCCAACAAAAAAATTGGTTCGCGATTTTGTATTAAATTTTCCCTTTACAAGTGCTCTCTTCATCCTGCTCTGTACGTTGTTTTTGGTTCGGATTGAAATGAGGGGTTCCCGCTTCTCCCTAAACTGATACGTGAAGTTAGCCGAGCTGTTTGATGTGGACGGATTCTGTTTTTGGAGGGTGTTGATTGTGACAAATCACTTTCCTGTAAAAGGCATAATTTATTGTATCGTCCACTGTTTCCGGGTTGTATATATAGTTTTCCCTGAATTTCTGATAACCGCACTTTGGCTACAAAAATTTCACGTATAACATCTTTTTCAATTTCCTCATTCCAACCGAATTTTGATGATTGCCCTGCTAATCTGAGATTAAAAAGAATCTAAACCTTCTCTGTCGCCGTGTGATGAGTTATATAGTTGCATCCTTTCGATGTTGTTGTTTTGCTTTTATTTGAAAAGCTGTTCGCAAGCGAGTAAAAAATCTGAATGTGACTAAATTGAGGTTGAAGTTTGCATATTTTGAAAGAGTCTCTTCTTCCTTTCGCTCCTCAAGGCAAAGAATAGGCGAGATTCGATTCTTGTTTCTGCCCGTAGACGTTTGGGGTTATTTTGGGTCCCTTTTTCCGCCTGTCTTCGTTTGTTTCGTTGAACGTCTGAACCGCTGCTTAGTTTCTCGCTATTCGTTTATCCGTCTTAGTTTGAGGTTCTGTTGGCGGAATAGTTTCAGGTTTCGGCGGTGGCTGGTCAAATACTGGTGAAGGATCTGATAATACAAATTTCGGTACGCATTTTTTATTAAGTAAAACGGCAAGGAAAACTTGTCTTACCCATGCCTTCCATGGATATGGAGGTTCTGACGATGGTTTACCCCCCAAACGAAGGTACTGCGAGCAGTTCCGTTTTGTGTTCGGATGAAGGACTGCTGGCTGGGTCATGTGATATCCCTTAAATATAATCTTAAGTTTGACTACTATAATGTTGAATTATAATGGTCAGCAAACAAAATATTAATAGGAGAATCAATCCAAAATGTATTAGCAACTTTACTTATCACTAGCTGTTGAGAGAAGGTTCGTTTTAGCACCATTGAGTTAACCGTGTCTCTAGACTTAATTGACAGGTCTCTGTCTCCACATCGCTTAACAGAGTAGCGGTCATGTTATCATACTACGTAACACTTACTTGGTGGACGTTTGACCTCCACCACATCGGGTTACATCGGTAAATCTTTGAAACAAATAATGATAAATTTTAAGACGGTAGATCTGATCATTTACTCTTGGTTTACGTAAAAAATTTGCTGAAAATCGAAATAAATGTAATATAAATAGACATTAAGAACAAGCATTTTAGAGAGTAAACAATGATTTTGCTGTTAATTTTGCCCATTAGTGTATTACATTCAACGTATTTATGGTGATCACCGCTTCATCAAATTTTAAACGCTAAATTTCACGGAAACCAACATCCGGGAAAAGGTACTAGAAATCATGTAATTGGACAAAAAAATTACCTTTATGACGCAGAAAATTACAATTTCCTGGGAAGGGGACTCAACTATCAAGGAGCAGACATCAATGGCAAGTTAAAATGTCAAAAGTGTGAACTGAAAATTCCAGTTTTATTTTAATTGAAGTTTCAATTTTTGTAGACCGAAATTTTTTAATGAAGCCAAAAAGTTTGAACGATACCTTCCATTAAAGTTGATATTTGAAAACATAAAATAAACAGAAACGCTTTAAACTAAGTTGTTACGCAAAATTGTTTGGTTTACGCCAATCATTATAATTGAAAAGTCAACCACATTAAAATTAAGCTTTTGGTTGTGGTCTTTCTTCTTTATCGGAAGAAAAACGACTACGCGAAAGTTTTGATTTCCATAATAAGCATAAAAACTCTAGTTGAAAAGAAAAAATGATTTTTAACTACCAATAAACAACCACCTCCAATTAGTACTATTTGAGTGAGCGGAGGTTTGATTGCCGATTTGAGCTGAAATCATTTTTCACAGTAAAGGTTTGAGGTCGACAAGCAAACAAATCGTTTTTTTAATCAATAAATTATGACTAAAAGTAGCAACACACGTGAAAATTGGGCAGTTGTTTTGGGAGCATCATTACTTCTGGTAAGTTAAATCAAAAATTTGAGTTTCTTCAATTTCTGTTTATCAATCATTTTTATAACATGCGGGACTGAAATGTAGGTATCCTTTTTTTGGCATTTTTTCAGTCAGTTTTGAGTTTCTCGCCCCTTCAAAACTACTAAGTTAAAACCGAAGACACTGTTGGAAAAATAGGGCTGGTCGGCTGAAAATGGATCAGCTTGTATAATAGTACCAAATAAGGGAAACACCAAAAAAAGGAAGCCATCTGGGCAGTACCGAATTAAGGGGGGTGGGGGGATGAATGCCTCTTTCACAGGGATTCGACCCCCTGCCGACCCCCTCGAGAAATTCCTAGAAAAATTGCCCCCCTCGAGAAGTTCCTAGAAAATTTGCCCCCCTCGAGAAATTCCTAGATCCACGCCTGCTTCTGGGGGCGCTGGGATACAGGCGAAATCCTTCCCATCCGCTCATCCCCCTGAAACAACCCCTGCGATCCACATATCCAAGTACCCCAATTTCACCCATACTTTTTTCAGTTAACTTACGTTTTTTGCAATGTTATCGAAAAACACTTCTTTAATAAGTGACAGAATGAATTTAGAAAAACGTCACCAAAAATTATAAAGGCTTGGTCCGCAGCCGGTTTGTAATTTTAGTTAAAAAAAACACCATAAAGAAAACTGGGATCGCAACTAAATAAAAAGTCAGCCTTTTTTTTGAAAATTGAAAATAAAAATGTATCAACCGTATGCAACATTCGAGCACCGGACCTAAACCAGATTGATATTAACAACGATAAATAGGAGCCAAAATCTATAGAACTATAGCAAGAAGAACTGACACACAAAAAAAAACTTAATAAGATCAGTTTTACTCAAATACCTTGCAGGAAAAACTTAGGCTAATTTTTCTAGTTTTTGTGAATTTTTTCACAAAACTACGCTAAAAAGGTAGATGTTAGAAATAGCCCAAAACCTAATTTAGCATAATTAAACAGTCATTCATCGCGGGAGCCCTTATAGGTTACAAAAAATTAAGGGATCCAAAAACTTATGGTTTGCGGTAATCATTATTCCTCAAGTGGCTTTAGCTCATTTTACCAGTGAGCGAGATTTATCTTGAGGGCAACTTTCTGGTAATTCTGGTGATCGAAAGCCATATTTAAAGTATAGTTTTGAGTTCAAAAGTTTTTATTCTAGATTTCAAAAAGCATCTTTTCGAGCAACGAAGTCCAATTTTTAGAAACCATTTCTCAAATTTCAATTTAATTTCAATTTAATTTCAATTTAATTTCAATTTAATTTAGGACAATAGAATTGTTTTTATTCAATTTCTGGAGGATTTTACGCAGATTTAAAAGCAGATTTTCCACACCAAAAAAAGCATCTCTGACAAATTTACTCATTTTTTAAACAAATTGATCTATTATTCGAACTGAATAAAATCTTTCGATTATGCAATTTAGTGTCTAAATGTGTTACAAGTAGAAAATCTGCAATATTTTAAATTATAATCAATCACAATCTTAATTTCGCCAATGTGGTTATTTGGCCTGCTCGTAATTATTGCGCACTTAATTTGCACATATCTTTTAATGCGTAGCAAAATGAAATCGCTTAAAATGAAATTGCTGCTGCAAGAAATATTGTTGTCCTGGGCTTAAATTTGAAAAAAAAAATACTGGGGGGGGGGGGGTTGTAAAGATTTCCATTTCAGCCAATTTGGTATAATTAAAGGGCGATAAATTCCGCGCTATTATCGCGTAAGCGGAGATTAAGTCGTCTCAGAAATCATTCCAAATTGGTTGAAGGAAACTTATTGGCAATTGGATTTAATACTAGGAGCGAAGTTTATCACTATGTACTTGGTATGGAGTGTTGGATGATGATTTTCATAAAAACTCTTTTTATTTTATTACATTTAATTTTTCATGTTATTACTGCTCCATAGACCTTAAAAGGCAGTCGGAACATTCAAGGTTTTGCCCTGATTCGATCAATCTTGTTGATTTTTATTATAGTCAGTAAGTATTGTTTTGATAAAACTATTGTTTCAGCATGGTGAAATTTGCAATTATTTTACTCATTCATCTTGTTCGACTGTTTTCACAAAGGGCGTCTTCGATAAGTTTTTCTTCCGTCAATGTTGAGTCATTGGTTTTTGTTTTTCCCACAACCTAGAATTAAATTGGACGAATATCAGTTTCTGATTTAAAAAAATCCATTTTAATTGACTTCTGATGAAAACTTTAGACCATGATCTCGATTATATTTTTGTTCAAATCGATTACTCTAAAAAACACAAATTCACCATAATCCATCCATTCATTAGCAAATCCATCAATATCAAGAATAATAACTGTTTGTTGTGTGAGAACGTTAATACAAATTATATGACAAAATTGTCAGATAATCAATTCAGGAAATTTTTAGTAAAATTATAAGAAATCGAAAATGATTAAAACTTATTATGATGTCACTGAGAACTTTGGTCTTTTCGTTGAAACAAACTTTGCATACATCTAATTTTGGCTTTTCAATTGGATGAAAACTCAAGTGCTATTGTAAGTGTGATTTGTTTCATTTTCTGTGATTTATTTTCGAACTGAGAGCAGGTGAGTGCCATTGAAACGTCTTCGCTGTGCTTCGCAAAAAAATAATACTTCAAGACTTTCATAATTAAAAACTATTCACAATGTTTTTACATTACATTTATCGAAAGAGTTTTTTTTGTTTTAGATGCAGTGTTATCATTCAAGAGTTCTTCAATTGCCAAAACGAGATTCAAATTTTAAATTCTCAGGTAAATAGTTTTTGAATAAAGGTTTTTTAATTACAGTTTTAGTTTGTTTTCTTTCATTAATTGCACTGGTTGTAAATATTTATAGGGCAATAAAAGATTAATTTATCATGCTCCCCCTAGATAGACCAAGTTAATATCTTCCACCCCAATATTTAATTCGCAATAAATTTGTTAAGCGCTGCATGTAAAATGCTCGATTATGATTGGCTGAAAATTTCTAACCTAGAACCAAGTTAACATCCTCCCCCACCCCCCATAAACTGCTTTGTGGGGAGGATGTTAACTTGGTCCGCAATAACTATTAAAGCACTTAGTAAATCAGCGCATCATAATTTCTAGTAAATCAATAGCTTACTATAAGATACCCTAGTCGATCAAGAAAGGTTATCTTGCAAGATCTTGCAAAAGTCTTGCTAAATCTTTTAAAGAGATGCATCCTCTTTAAATAAATCTTCCAAGTTTCTTTCAAGATCTTGCAAGAAAACCTCCCTTGATCGACTAGGGAAGCGATCAAATTTTAGGTATAAATTTTAATTTGATTTTCCTCGATTTCTAAGAAATAGCATGATTTATGAGGTGTTTGGTCAATAACGCGTCCATTTTTTTCGGATTAAGGGTCCACGAAATCTCTGAAAAGTTTCTTTTTTGAAAACAGAGCAATACAAAACAAAAACAAAGGTTGCTGTGCAAGTAGAACGGAATTCTTACCCTATTCCTGAAAAAAAAACTTAAACAAACACATAATATTTTCGGTTTTTACCATTTCTGAGCGGAGTGGGATGAGAGGAAACACAGAGTTTGACTATTTACTAATTAACCATAACTGGTTACAAATGTTTCCGAAAACGATTGATAAAAATAGAACAAAAAAAAACAAAAATAGAACAAAAAAAAACAAAAAAGAACTCAAACATTTTCGAAAAATTTTAAATTTTCTTCGTCTCTTGTTCTATATTTATCATTCATTTTTGGTAAATTTTATATTCAACGTAAAATTTTTGTAGAATTCGAGGATTTCAATGAACACTTTTATGTCAAATAAAATCAAAATCAAACCGATTTTTATTCATGATTTCGAACTGGTTCGATTTTCAAACCAGTTTTTTCCACACTGATTAAACGTCGTTTTATACTGGATTTCACACCCAATTTTTCCAAACGGACTTTTACTAAAAGATTTTTCAAACAAATTTTTCCAGCCGATTTCCTCCCACACTGTATAAACGATTTTTCAAACCTGTTTTACAGTAAGAATAAATTAAAAACATTAACGTTTCGTTTCTTGTTGTTTAATCAAAATGTAAAAACGAAACATGAACGTTTCTAATTTATTCTAATGTTGTTTGAATATTCCGAAGGATTTTTTTATTAGCCGGGTCCAGGTGCTCACTTTTTGCTTTGACCGTTTCGAGCAAAATTTGGTATGTTTTGACCGTCTAAAGCGAAATTCGGTGTGTTTCGATCGTGCTCGACCGAGACAAATGTGCTCGACGATGGTTGATCCAAGTAAGATGTGTTGCGACAGTGCTCGACTCATTTTGGGTATAATTCGATTTTCAAAAAGCATAAGTTTTTACGAATTTAAACGTTATAACTTATGCTTTTCGGTTAACATCTTGTGATGTTTTTTCTTATCAGATTGAATTGATAAAAGCTATTGGTAATTTAATTGCTCTGAAGAGATGAACTATCTTTGAGCTACTTTTCATTCAATTTTTGGAATACTGATTTGCAATTTGAGTCGTAAATGTTAAAAAAAATATCGGTTTTTTAAAGAAGTTTTTCTTTTTGACTCCGAATTACCGCGGGACAATCGGTTTTTTTTCGGCCGTGCTCGACCGTGCTGTTCGATTCATTTATATAATCTAATAACCCTGTGCTTTGTATTTATCCAGCTAATTAATTCATACCTTTTCTAACTATTGTTTCTACTATAACGTTTGTCAAGACAACTTGACGATCTAAGGTGAGACTTATAACTTAGGATAAATTACTAAGCAATCAACCAGCAATAAACGCTTAGTAAAGTATGTTTCGACTGTGCTCAAGGTATGTTTCAACCCTGCTCGAGGTATGTTTCGACCGTGCTCGAGGTACGTTTCGGGACTCGAGGTATGTGCTCGACCGTGTTCGAGGTATGTTTCGACCGTGCTAGAGGTATGTTTCGACCGTGCTAGAGGTATGTTTCCACCGTGCTAGAGGTATGTTTCCACCGTGCTAGAGGTATGTTTCGACCGTGCTAGAGGCATGTTTCCACCGTGCTGGAGGTATGTTTCCAGATTGTATTCGGCTTTGACAGTTGAAACATAAAATGAGCACCTCACCCGGGTACTCGGCCCGATCTGATAAATATTTGTTGTAGCTGATTTTGTGGGAAAAAGTCTAAGAAAAAAAACACAAACTCGATTACGAAGTTCACCCGATTATACTCCAGTACAAAATTTTTTATATGAAATTGAAATTTTTAAAACTAATAAGAAAGGATGAAAAAAGAACTGAAGAAAAATGATCTTGTGCCTAGTTTTAAATCGGACGAGTGGTAGAGAAAAACAAGCTTTTTTGCCTTTTAATGACCTTTTTTTTCAAAAATATTATTGTGGCCTAAAAAATTCATAAGCCATGCACTAATTTTGATTTGTCTAACTTACAAGTTATGTCTGTTGAAAACTAAGAATCAGGAACAGGAGTTTTAAAAACTGACATAGAGACTTAACTGAAGGTAACTGTAATTGACGGTACTTTTAGGGAAACATTGACTCTAAGTCTATAGCTGGTTCAAATCATTCCTATATGTAGGAACAATCGTATTATGTTTATTCAAAATCCGCTTCAAATTAGGGGAGTGGCGGCGAATTGGTTACGTCTCCGCCTCTCGATCGAAAGGTCGAATGTTCGAGGCCCACCATGATCCGTGCTCGTTGCTTGGTGATGAGGCAACATTACCCAGCCCAGAAAAAAAAATGTAAAACAATTGCATGTAGTTCTTAAGCAGGGGTACACCAGCGGTTTGCCGTGATGAGCTGTACAGCTCGCAGGTTGGTCTTTTTTATCGTGGATAAATGGTCTTAAATGAACTGTAATTTGATCTTTTTTATAATTTTTTTTCGTTAACCAATAAAAATCAAAACCTTGATTCCTATGTATCGTTTAAAATAATCTAATTATGAGTTTAAACCGTCAGTTAGTCATTTTTTCTTTCATTTTTGAAAATTTTCAAACCACATTACGAGGCCAAACTGTGCTTTTTGGGATGTAAGCGTATTCCGCAATAAGGACGCTCCCTTTGTTCTTCTTTTGTTCTTTCATTTTTTTTGATAGTTCCGACAAAATTTTAACATTTTTAAAGTTTAGTGTCTGGAATCCAGTGCACAGTTTGGCCTCGTAATGCATTTTTTTATTTATATTGATGATTTTAGTACCTGCTTGCTATTGGAAGGACGTTAATTGCAAAAATGCACCAACAAAGAAACACTTCGGCAACGAACCAGATATTCTTCAGCCAGAATTAAACCAATGGGAATTTTTGCAACCAAGACGGCTTCTGTTCTCGAGGAAGTCACACGAAAACAAAATGCAAAGGAATCAAGTTTTCAGTCATACAGATTTGATCGATCATCTGCTTTCAAGTCGACAGAGCCAGATAGGAGATGAAAACCGACCAAACTACACTCGATAGAATCTTACAAGTTCAAGAAAAATCAGGAAAAAAATATCTCATCGAAGTAAATCTCGATCAGAATGAAAATTGCAATGTACATCACGATTAAAAAAGATCTTCAACTTTTTAAATCATATTCTCAATTTAAGTTGTGAAGGTAAAATTTTCCAGCTTAATTGAATGTTGCAGTGTTACTTTTGAATTTACAGGCCAGAAATTCTAGTTTTCTTTTTTTTTTGGCTCTTTTCCAGTCCCCCCTTTAAAAAGTAACGAGTTTTATGTTTGTTTTACGTGTTATTAGGGCTAAATGCGGATGTTACGCTGTTAAGTATCAAATTTGTTCACCCCGCCAAATTTCGTTGCATTCTGTTAACGTTAAATAAACTTTTCAAAATTGAATTTGAAAGGGGGGAAACAGGAAAAAAGCCTTTTTTTCTGACAGATATTAATCCATTGAGCTCAGAATTGAAAAAGTATGTCAGTCAGATTTTCTTTTGTCATTTTATCAGAAATAGAAAATGACATTTGACCAACTCGGACCAATTATTGCACAATTTTTCTGTTTTTTTTAAATATTACTTAGGCTCTTTCTCCTTCTCTCCACCTGCAACTTTTTACAAGTACAATTACTGTTCCCATGAACCGATTGACATGCTAACTGATTAGGCTATGACAGACATATTTTTGTTCATAAACAACCTTGTTAAAATCCTCATTACACCATAAAATTGATGCTGATGTGAGGTGGTGGGAAAAAGGAAAAAAGAGCCAGTATTATACCAGCAATGAAACCAGTTCATAACAATTTTATTTCTTCGGCAAAAAACTGGGAACAATTAATGCAACATTTTTCTGCATGTTTTTTTTAACTTTCATCATAACAGCAATGAAACAAGTTCATACCAGTTTTTATTCATCGGAAATCATAGCAGTTTTATTTCATCACTAATAAACTGGGCAATTTTATTGTATCCCTTTTCTGTAGTTTTTTGACATTGAGCACAAATTCGGTTCACAACAAAAAAAACTATTGTCTGTAAACCATCACACTGCCAATCATCTGTCAACCCATCGGTGCTATCTTAATGCCAGCAGGTACCGGCCAATGGAGTCATCTGTCACGGTTGGTTACCTCTAATACTCACTCTTATGGTATACTTTGAAAAATTAAGTTGGTACATTATCTTTCTGAAATTGGAACTTATACTTATTAAAACTGATTTTCAATATGGTCCAGCCAACAGGCCAAGTGGGGTGAAAATCACTTGTTAGAATTACCGGTTTTTGGCCCACTAAATGCAGCGAACAGCCTATGCTCTGGAAACTCTGGCATTATCGCTTTCAATGGGGTATGGTCGCCAAACACGGGATAAACCCAAAAACCTTCTAGTTCGACTGAGCGCTTACGACGGCGCAGATAACAGCCTTGCCAGAAAAGGTGGAGGAAACAAGTGACTCGAAAAGTAACAGACGCTAATTTCCAATCTCTACCTGCTCCGGGGGGAGTAAAGCCAGGATGATCTCATAAAAGACGGCTGCATCTAAGTCTAGGGGCGACCAGATATCCATGGGTCGTAGACGCTGTAGAAGCGGAGTTCAAGAAGAAATGAAACGAAAGATATGAAAGCTTTCAACTACTGTCGAGAAAGCAATTCCATTGGGTGCTCAGCGGGTTAGCCGTAAGATGCAATTTTGGCACATTGTCAATATGAACAATCATGAAGCCCAGATTGATTTTTGCCGGTCAATAAAGACCCCAGAAGAGGTGTGAAGGATTGCATTGTTCTACGAGCGGGGAGATAAATATGCTAAAATGTAGGTGTTCTCATCAACTGGCGGAGGAACTTCATCAGCACCAACGGGTGGTGGCTTGCAGATTCAGACCCAACCTGTTGGATTCATCCGAGGGGGTTATCGGAATAATCGGCCACACGGTAGAGGACAGGACCACGGGCTCGGATTTACCAGAGGGGGAATCAATCCACTTAGCAGGAGATACTACAACTGTGATCAGCCGGGATTCACACCAGACCATATGGACAAATTTCCAGCAAACGGGGTCACATGCTACCACTGTGGGGAGACCGGACAGTGTGAACGTACGTGCCTGAGAAGCAGGCCAGCCAACGAGGACGAGGAGCAGTCGGTCTGATTTAGAAACACGAATAAGAAGCGTTTGACCGCTCTGAGATATCGGAGGATCATATGTCGCAACACGGAAGTTATGTTGGTTGGGTAAATCAAGCCGATACGCACTCTTTGATTTCGGATAGTTCGGGAGACTATCTGGTGATGTCAGTCCGGTCTGAAAGATGCATAGAATTAAAGCTCAAGGGGGCTCAATTGCTTTTACGCAAAAACGGAAAGGCTACACGCGTGTGGATAGACAGCGGATAACCCATCTCAATTTTCACCATCGGAGAATTAAGGAACACCTTTGGTGCCAGCTATGTCAGACTTGAGTAACTGACGGCGGAGGACAACGAACTCCATGACTACGGATACAACACCCTAAAACTAATGGGGACGATGAACCTGATTCTCGAATTGGACGGCTAGGAAACGATGGCAAGGATTCGGGTGATCGGAAGCAGCCGGCAATCAATCATTGGACAGGAACTAATGGCTAATTTAGGACTCAAGCTAGTACAACAAAAGTCAAAAGAAGCAGTGATGCCGGTCATTTAGAACACGACCAGTGGGTAGGAGATAACACTGAATATTTTAGTAAGTAATTTTCAAATACTTTTCGTAGGGTAGGAAAATTTAGGTCATATAAGATACAAGCGGAATTTTATCAAAAATTTGATCCCGGTGCAATAAAAATGAAGAAGGGTGCCAATAATGCTACAAGAGAAATTGACGGCGAAATTGCAAAATTGATGAAACAAGGACACATTGAAAAAATCGAAGAGTGTTCAGCAAAATATTTCGTTTTGCCAATTATTATTACAGTTAAAATGGACGGGTCGGTTAAACTAGCCCTCAAATCAAGAGAAATAAGCAATTAAATCCATAAAAATAAGTACCAAATGCCAAATACTGAAGAAATTAAAGAGCATCGTCGGTAAAATATTTAGCGAGAAATCTATTTTTAGGAAATATACTTTTTTCAAAAATGGATTTAACGTTTGCATACGGTCGACTCCCTCTCAGTGCAAAAACGAGCGTGCGATATAACTTCTCACTAATAGCAGGAAAATTAACCGGTAATTAACGTTTCAAAACGAGATCTACGGCTTAACAACCATGCCCGTAGAATTTCAACGATCAATGGACAGCATTCTTTCGGAGTTCATTTGCGCACGCGTTCTTTTGCAATATACTAGTGGTCACAAAAGAATCAGAAAAAGATCATATCGGGAAGGTCAAAAATATTTTACAAAAATTGGTTAAGGAAATTTTGTCTCTAGGAGTGACAAAATGCAGATTGGCGCGAAAAAATTGTGAATGGCTCGTTCACAAGATTACACAAACGGCGTACAGCACCGTTGGTTAGGAAAACCGAGCCGATCGAAGCGCTCAAACGCCGTGCATTTTATCTCAACTAAAGTCGTTAATGGGCTCGATTGACAGCCTACATGAAAAATTACCGGCCCTTGCCGATAAGTCCCTCCCCCCATTTCGTCCATTAGTAAGAAAAAAAACCCACTATATGTGGAGATCGGAACGCCAAACCGCGTATGCTTTTGAAAGTTTGAAAAGACAAGTGGCTAACATAGTAGAGCTCAGAAAATTCGACGTAGAGCACTGATAGTATGTGATGCAAGTCATAACGTTCTGTGGCGGTCCTAGAGCAGTTAGGTCCTGTGGACTAGTGATACCTAAGTGGAGCAGAAAAGAAAAAGTTGACCAACGAACTCGAATTGCTGGCAGTTGTGAGGGGGCTGGCTATTTTCAAAACTACGTCTTAGGCCAGAAATTATAGATAAAAACAGATCATAAAGCATTTTTCTATTTACTACACGGAAACAACGAAAAAGTTAAAACCATGTTGTGTATGCTGACGAGATGGTTGGACCGACTAATTCTTTTTGACTTTCAAGTCGAACGTAAGCCATTGGCCAAAATTAGGCTGGCGGGTTATCTATCTCGAAACCCGAACGATGATGCGGTATCTGTTAGCAATTACGATAGCATTTTCACAGTGGCAAAAATTGAAACGATAGGTCGCGCCTTGGGATACGATCAATTGAATTTCAACAGGGGACCGGTAATAAATCATCCAAGGCAAGACCATCAAATGAAAACGCAACATGCAAACATTCAATCACAAACCCGCGGTCAGGGGGCGTCTTTCAAGCGGCTGTAAATCAACCAATCACAGACAATATATTTGCACATACCGACGGTTAATCAAAACGGAAGCTTATATAACTGGGCTACTATTGATTCAAAATCAAGTTGTTCAAAGTTCTACAATCTGAATACAGACTTGCCACATCCGGCGGACGCAAACTGGGTTTTACGCTCGGATCTTGTAAAAAAGCCAAAATCATTCAGTAAAAATTACAGAGGGGCAACACCTCAACCAAGAAGACGAACCGACGGTCCAAAAGCCAGCAAACGCTGAACCGCAGCGGGAGCCCTGAGGCTAGCTATACCAGCGTACTGGAGACAGAAACATCCACAGGTATAAAAAAAAATTAAATTTAAAGTGAAACCGAAAGCGCGCATACACTTTCTTTAAGAAACGGCGTTGTTCTTAGAAAATTGGATGTCGCAGTGTCAAAAATCCCGAGCAAGAAAAGAAAAACATCCGCGGGGCTACCTCAACTACCTACTTCACAGGACCTGAAACGCAAGCAACTCGAACAAGCAGCTAAGAAGGGACCAAAGACGAAAACGCCAAAGCAGACGGGCTGACGATTCGAACCGGAGAGCGAATCTGAGAATAAAGACAGAAGCAAAAACATACCCTTAGCATCGAAACAAGTGACCACCAGACCAAATTTTGGCATTGAAGCACAACTGACTCCAGAGCACGGAGCGACCGAACCGGCTGAGCAAGCCGAACCGACAGAGCACTTTATTAAGATCAGGCAAGCGGAGCAAAGTGGAGAAGTGGGCACATCGAGCACGACAATAACCGATGAAGCGGTCGCACAAACGGTTATAGCGAGCCAACCAGTGAAGACGAAAAAACGCCGACGGAAACAACTATTAGTATCGTGTAGCAGTCA